GAACCAGGGTCTTGGGAATTAGGGTCTGGAGAACAGGGTCTTGGGAATTAGGGTCAGGGGAACCAGGGTCTAGAGAACAAGGGTTTGGGGAATTAGGGTCTGGGGACCTGCAGGCAGATGGGGAAGGGGGTCGAGCCCCAACAGGAACAGTTTCGGACAGCCTGTCCCTCCTGTACTCAGGCTCCTGTAGACTGTTCGAACCCGCCCCAGCCATGAGAACCTGCCTTTAAAGTAGGGAAGCAGTTTAACCCAGAGCTACTGAAAGTACTACCCTTGCGTTCCAGTCCACAAATACCATTAGCATCTCAGCTGTGTAACAGATCCTGCTGGTAATTCATTCATTATGGATTTGTAGTAGGAAAGGTATAGACACTGATTCAAAATGAGCCACTGATGTGCTAAAAAGCTTTTCATTGCTGATGTGGCAAGTTGTGGTGTACAGTTAATGCTAATAAAGTAAACAGGAGATCTACATTATATATAATAGAGAGTGATGGATCATTAGGTTGATACAGTGATGGATCAAACGATTGATACAGGCCAACAGCTGAAATGAAAGGCTGGCTGCTGTCTTTATTTAGACAGATTGATGGCTGTCAGGGTAGGGTTTGCTGTTTCTGCTTGGTGTTTAATTTGGGGAAAAGGGAAGAATCTCATCTGTTTTTTTTTCCATGCTGCCGAGTCACTTGCATGTCTGCATGGACTCATTTTCAGAAAGCAATGTCTTGAAGCGACTATTTTCATACAGGTACACTGGGATATGTAGACATGCTTTGTGTACAATTGTGATCGTTAAACATGAAGGATGGGAGTGTGATTTGACACGTCCTGAACGTGCTTGATGAATGCGGTTTTGTCTAAAACCTCTGTGCTGCTTTCGTGGTTTGGTTTTCAGGATTATTTTCTCTTTGAATGTAATGTTATTGTATTTTGATTTTTAAATAAAGAAAAAAAAAGATACGATCAATTTTAAAGGCTGCTGGGCTGTCATTACCGGGCTCACCGCTAGAGGGCGGTACGTACACGGTGACTTTCATTTCGCGGTTTTCAAGAGTCCCAGATCAGTTTATCTGGATTCTGCATTGCAACGTCGTACTGAGAAGCGGGTAGTGAGGTCGGTTGTTGTCGCCGCCCTCCCCTCCCCCTCTCCCCTTCGTGTTTTTGCTCAGTTAACAGCCACACGTTTGCTGCAGAAGTCTTCCTCCTTCAGTTATCGAGACAGGAACTATAACTCTATCAACGATATCAAAAGAAGTTTGAGCACAGTCACGGCATTGTCATTCTGAAGAGGAAACACATTATAACTCGGCTATCGATCTTTCAGCTTTGTTGCTGAATGTTTTTTTTGTTTTAGATAAAGGTTTAAGCCCATGGCTCTTTTGGGTTATTATCATTACTGTCAAAGCAATTGAGTATTTGTCAAATATAGCTAAGAAACGTGCATTAGAAAAAGGATATTTTCTCAGTCAGGTCTTGGGTGCTGTTTTGAGTTTTCAGTCATCAGAAACAACAGATTTTTATTTAGAGCATAAGAACAGTTACCGGCCATGAGGTTTATCCAGCCTCTTTGGTAGTTAGGAGCAAATGTTCAGCTGTTTCTTGGAAGAAGCCTGGGTATCGGCTTCAACAACATGGCTGGGCAGCTTGTTCCAGACTCCCGCCAGCCTTTGCGTAAAGAATTGTCGCCTGTTCTCAGTTTTAAATGCACCCCCTGCGTAGTTTCCACTGGGTTGACTCTGTCAGTGACATTGAGGAGTTTGAGTCCTTGTATCAGGTCCCCTTTGTTCGGGACTAAAGAGGTTCAGTTCCATCTGCCTATCCAGTGTAGTTCATTCCCTTCAGCCATGGAATGAATTTAACCGTTCTTCTCCGCATTGTTTCCAGAGATAATCATAATAATTGCTCACAATTCTATAGCGCCTTTCTGGACACTCCACTCAAAGCGCTTTACAGGTAATGGGGAATCCCACTACCACCACCACCAGTGTGCAGCCCCACCTGGATGATGCTACAGCAGCCAGAGTGCACCAGTCCGCTCCCCACACACCAGCTCTCAGTGGAGAGGAGAGCAGAGTGATGGAGCCAGTTCAGAGAGGGGGGTTATTAGGAGGTCATGACTGGTAAAGGCCAGGGGGAAATTGGCCAGGACACCGGGGTAACACCCCTATTCTTTTCGAGAAACACCCTGGGATTTTTAATGACAATTAAACCTTGGTTTACCTTAAAACTCAGGACCTTGGTTTTACAATATAGTGTCCCCGTCACTATACTGGGACATTAGGACCTAAAACAGACTGCAGGGTGAGCGCCCCCTACTGGCCCCACTAACACCTCTTCCAGCAGTAACCTTAGCTTTCCCAGGAGGCCTCTCATGCAGGTACTGGCCAGGCTCACACCTGCTGGGCTCCAGTGGGGCTGCCAGCGGTGAGTCTCAGGGTGACCGAGCTGCTGGCCTGGAGAACAGAAGGGGTTTGGGGGCATACGAGGGCATGAGGGAGCGGTCGTTCTCCTTCGGAAGAAGAAAGTGTGAAATCTGAAGCAGCTGTCAGGCGACAGCTCGGTCCAGCCTCTCCTGACCCCCGGGAAGAACAACTAGGCCCTGTGAGGGAAGACTCGCTGCTCTGATTGGACCGGGAAACTGCCAGCTGTTTAGAATTGGTCTGGCCCAGTGTACTGGGGAACGCCAACAAACCTGCCGGACTGGTTATCAGCCTGTTAACAGGGACGGCCAGTGTCAACACCTCCCGCGGACAGACGGCAGACACCTGAAGCACATTCCCCTGACCACGAGCCTCTCCCACTTCCCCCTGTGAGACCTTTTCACGAGCAGGGCTGCTGTCTTTTTTTCCTCTTTTTCGGGCCGGAACGTTCCAGAAAGGCGCCAAACACGCCTCGCGTACACCTGAGTAAAATCACACTGCATTGCAACCACCGTCGCCTCGCCCGCTGATGAGCAGGCTTTCCCGGATATTATTCAAAGCCTTGAGTGACCTCGCGTTGCAGTGCCAGCCCACCAGCAGCCCTAGCAAATAAGTCAGGGGAAAGGTTTAAATTAAAAGAAACAAGGCTGTTTTTGCAAAGCTTCTTGCTGGCTTGGCGGCGATTGCATTAGCGTCTTTAGATTCGTTGGATTCGATTTCCAATAGCAAACAACGGGACAGAAATATAACTTGCACGCCACCCCCAGGAGTCCACGTACCGTCAATTAAAATCAGCGCATTGCAACTGCATTGCTGCAGCTTTGCTAAAAGGACTGGCTTTCCGAGGAAGCCGGCGTGCTTAAATAATTTAGCAGCCGTTGCATCTTTTATTCAGCCGCTGAAAGATCGAGCAGGGAAAGAGCAGGTCAGCTCCTTGTCCTCTTAGTGCCAGCGCAGCTACTAGGCACACGTGTCCTGGCCTCCTCTGCAGCCGGGAGCCTGCGGTCTGGGCAGGGCAGGGTTAACGACAGCCGAGCTGTGAAACGTGAGCACAGGCTGCCTCTTGCATTATTGATCTCTCTCGGGGGGGCGGGACCTCTGGGCCTGACGGCCAGCTGCTCTTGTTGTGCATCAGCCCGGTAACCTGAGCCCCACCTTGTCCAGGCATCCCACCCTCCCGAGTGCCCCCCCCCCCCACAACAATCCCCCAGCATCCTCACAACACGTCTGACCAGGCCCTGCGAGCTCTTCGGTGACCCCGGATTCAGCATCCACCCGGAGAAATTGAATCTGGAGAATTGGAGGAGCAAGGTCAAACGCATTGGGGTTTTCTTTTCCCTTGAATAAAACCAGGAGACATTAGCAGGAACCCCAAAGGCCCCAGCTGATAAAGTGCAACCCGAGCGATCTCTGTCGCTCCAGGGGGTAAGAAGAGACCTGACTTTGGACTGCGACCAGAGTGAAGTTGCATTTTCCAGAGACCTAAAGCACCACCTCAGCACAAAAGGCCGCTGCGGACAAGCTTCAGGTTTTTTTGTCAAAGTGGAGGATGTGGTCTGTGCCAAGAGAGTTCAGCTGCGCACTACCATCCGTGATCCAGCTCTTCAGTTCTGCGGGGAATGCTTTTATATCGACAGGGCCACGCCTTCCATGCTCCGGATGCCTGCTGACGCGCTGCAGCAAACTCGGGCGGCCACTTGTGCTTCACCCATAATCCCCTGCCTCCCCACACGAGATCCGAGAGAGGGCTGTCAGGGCAGCAGGGGGGCTGGAGTTCACCCCCTCTGCGTTCCCTGCCTCGCTCCCAGAGAAGAACCTGGCATCAAATCCATTTGGTCTGGTCTCTTGAAGATAAAGCACTCGCACTTTGTCGAGAGGTCGCGCACAGAGCCCACACACTGGCTGGCGGCATCATTGCTGAAACGTCCCGAAAAAACCCACACAGAGATACACAGGACAGCCTGGCCCTCGGACGCGGAGGAATTTTGAATGCAAACGCTGATTCCTGCTCTCTCTCAAAACTCTGCTCGCTAACGCCTGTGAAAAGTACTACACAATGCTAACCCGCAACCCCCTGACCCTTTAATCCTTTTGCAATTTGTTTCCTGGTCTACTTCATCACCTCTTGGTTACCTGTCGTGGGGTGTAGCTGTCCTTCTGCCCTGTGGGTTTTCCCTCCATGCACTTCTTTTCAGAAATGGCAGTGCGAGTGAGGAATAAACTGTCGTGTCACAGCAGGGATGGGGGGGGTAACTTCTTTACACAAAGAGTTGTGGGAGTGTGGAACAGGTTGCCCGGCCGTGTTGTTGGAGCCGAAACTATTAGTTACGGACTACCTAAACAGGCCAGATGGGGTGGATGATCTTTCTTGACTGAGCTTCTGGCAACAGGACAAGCTCGGTGGCTGGCATTGTCTGCTGCTTATGAGAGAGAGATACGCAAATGCCTCAGTCACAAGTGTTATGAGTCTTTGTTTGCCTGAGAGATCAGCTTACTGCTCTCGCGGCCCTGTGGACTGACAGTGCTCAGCTGTCACCTGCCACACCCCGAGTCCCCCTCTCCC